TACTAAATTTTTGTCGAATTAGCTTTCGAAGAATATTTTTTGAATATGAAGGAAGTTATAGCCCTAGAAAGAGGAAGGTAAAAATTGTAGTGCAATTTTATTTCTTGCTTAATAACTTATTCATTTCAAATTGTTTGAGAACAAATGAGCTTTACAGAGAAAGCTTTTACGCGTTTCCATTCCTTTGGTACCTCTTCTTTTTATATTATTGCACCCATTATTGCACCTATCGGTTTTTTGGTCTCATCCGGTAAGGGGGGCATGTGGTGCGACAGTTCATATTGCGTGAAGTTATCCACTTTTTTGCAGGGGAGGGAAGCTCCGGGGTGGGTGTAAAAGTTTAAGCGAAATGGTCCACGCACCCAGGGGATTCCCTCCCCTTGCACAGAAGTACTACATACAGGTGGGGTCGTATCAAATCGTCCATGAAGTGGGGGGAGTCGTAAAAAATTCCAAAAAGTACCAGCGATAAGTTTGACCTGCTTGAAGGTACCACCAACATCTTCCCATAGGGACCACATCTGCCTTGATCAATTTTCCATCTCGATTCCTTGTGAAAACTTTGAATTCTTTGTTTTGCTTCTTATCTTCATGCGCAATTTCAGCTGCCCTACTCTGATGGTCATTAACACATTCCTGAACTGATGTTTTTCTGTCTGTTTTTCTTGACAGATATTTTGTTCTATTTTCGGCAGGTCCGCTCAGAATATAATTGAATATATTTCTGTGTTCCATGTACATGCCCCCATCCAATGCCGGAGAAGATTCTGCGAAAGCGCTCCATATCCTGAAAGACTTTCCTGATTAGAAGGAGCTAACCCAAGATGCAAAATTTTGTCATCAGCCAAGATCGATCCCTTAGACGATCCATTTTTCGTTTTATCTATTTTAAAAGACCATTCCAAAAAAGCCCTCTATATCCTGAAAGAGCTTCCGGGTGAGAGACAATAGCTGTGACTGTGCGAAAGGGCTTTTGACCAGCGTTTGTGATAACGTCACAATAGTTCACGATCCGTCGAGGAACTCGTTGAGCTCGTACCGTGCACCGTGCTAACAAACCAAAACATTCTGATAACGTCGGAGCAGAAGAGTATCATCTGATCTGCAAATTGTAGGTAAATCCGCTCTATATGTGTAGAGGAGTGACCTTTCTTTTCTATGAAGTACTATGTTTTATTAGTATCCTATTACAAA